AAATGAAATATGTCGTTGCAAAGAGTATTAAATAGTGTAAAACTTTGGTAGGGAACATTTTTTCATACATCTCTATCTTAGGAATTATTCTATAAAAATAAAAAAATTAATTTTTTTCAAAGGGCTGTTTTGACAACTAAACCTCGAGATAAGCCGATATAAAAAAATATGGGTCTCTTATTTTTTATGCTCTATAACATATCCAAAGCGCATCAAAATCGGTGAGTTCTGTCAGTCAAAGTAAAACAAAAGTAAATGCTCTTATAAAAAATATCTTATTTAATAAATTTAAAAATGTTAGCACGAACTATTATTATTTAAACTTCTATTTTCTACAAAAGGAGTGATATCATATAGTTAGGCCAAGTAAAAATAAAACACAATTTAATCATTTAAATTTATTTCACTTCCTATAAAAGAAGTAATATCATGTAGTTAAGCTAAGTAAATATAAATTTGAAAACGTTAAAATAAAGTATTATTGTCGAAACTTCTATTTTCTATCTAAAAAATAACATAATAATATTATAATAATATTATAATAATATTATAAAGTTGACTAATGCATCAATTTTACGCTTATGAAAAAAATACAAAAAAACCCTCAATTTTGAGTGTAAGCACTCAAAAACTGGAAATAAACACCTAAATTTAAGTGTTAACATCCAAAATTGAAGGTTTTTTCGTTTTTTTTTTTTTTTTTTTTAAAAAGTAGAGAATACGAAAACATATAAAAAAATTCTTGAATTTGATATCTAGTGGATGTCAAAGAAATTCTTATATTAAAAGTTGCTATTATATATCCATGCAGCATTGTGCATAGTGGATTCTGAGAATTTTGGAAGAATATCACAACAATAGATTACATATTTTCTAAATATTCAACGTACGCATAATATTCTACTAAGAATATAAAAATCTAACAAAAACCTCAATTAAAAACCTCTATAAATGGTTATACAAAAAAGCAACCTAACATTTTTATCCAAAAAATTATAAAAAAGAAAACTCAATTAAAATATATGAAATTAGTAAAATGATCCAAGTACAGAATTCATTATTATCAAATTAGAATAGATTATAACTAATTACCATTATTACCAAGTTACAATAAATATAACTGATATCAAAGATCAATATATAAAAATCAAACTCATATAACAAATTTATAACAAAAAAAAACATTTTTATACATAATAACCAAAGTAAAAAAATTGGCGTGCCCAGATCGTATTAAAACAAGTATACATGCGTCCTCCCCCCTCTCCACAAACACATACATATTTTAAATTTTTACAGTAAAGAGTAATATTCTAAATACGACCCGAGCAAGTTTTTGTACTTTACTTTGGTTGTTATGTATGAAAATGTTTTTTTTTGTTATGAATTTGTTATATGAGTTTAATTTTTATATATTGGTCTTTTATATCAGTTATATTTATTATAACTTGTTAATAATAGATCATTATCTATTCTAATTTGATAATAATGAATCATGTACTTGGATCATTTTACTGATTTCATATATTTCAATTTTATTTTTATTTATTTTTTATATTTTTATGAGTTTTATATTTTATAATTTTTTTGATAAAAATGTTAGGTTGCTTTTTTACACAACCATTTATAGTGATTTTTAATTGAGGTTTCTGTTAGGTTTTTTATAAAGGGATTTTATTATTTATTTACAATTTATTCGGCTTTATGTAGTTGGCGTATTTTTTATATTTGTAAGATCTTTTTGTTTTTATGATACTACAGCTTTTTGCATGAATTAAGAAAATCTTATTATGTTTATTCCGCAAAGAATATTGTAAAAAAAAATTCTGCAAAATATAATTCTAAAGAAATAATATGTTTAGATGATCCATAAAATACATCCATATTATTTACGAACTACGACGAGAGACATTCTGCTGCGCGTGTCAAACATACTTCCACTTTTGGTTTAGTTTTATAAACTATTTAGTTTTATAATGGCTTCATTTGCAGAATACAAATTTTTTTTATATAAAAGCACCATTTTGCTATACGCTCAGCAATCTACTTTAAGACAACGTTTTCCAACACGTTTTGTTATATTTTTAATATATTTTTCTTCAGTATATTGCATTTTTATATTATTATTTCTCAACATAATATATTTGTTTTAAAAATATTATTTCAAATAATGTTTTCTTTATTAAATAATAAACATTTCTTTAATAAAGTTTTCTTGATAAAATAACAATAAATATATTTTTACTAAATATAAACAGAAGTAATAAAAGTATATATAATATTTATATCTTCATCGTTCGTCATGTCATGATTCTCTCTCTTCTCCATTTTCCAGCACTCGACTCTTATAGGATATCATTTTTAGTTTATTTTTTAATTGTTAACCTTAGAGTTTTTACATATGAATCTATATATGATTAGCAACTCGACATTACCGCGTTTCTTGATATACTCCAGCAAACAAGATGACGTCAAATGACGTCTTAATGACATATTATTGACGTCTCTAACGTCATAATATCTCAATATTTTAATATCTCAATTATTAATTACATCGGACACATTTAAAACGATATATTTATCGCTAACGATAACGTTATCGCACGATTAAATACGATAGAAATGCGTCGTTTGTATCGTAATATGTATCTCAATATGTATCTCAATTATCATATTTAAGAATATATTAGAGCGTTATCGTCACCACATAATGTACAAGAGACTTAAACTTTGCCACATGTTGTAGAAAAGACTTAAACAATTTATCGGGAAGAGAAACCGATCACTGAAAATTTGTAATTTTGGGTTGTGATCATTTTAGATATCAGGATTGACTGCACTAATTTTTATCAGATTGGTCGTAATTGAAAGCTTGTATCAACGTTTCTGTCAGAAATACAATTAGATTTTTCATTACGGCTTTATTTTTCGAGATATTTTAGTTGGAAGTGTGATCGTCGCAAAAACTCCGGAAAAACTTCTTGGTAGCGTCGTGTACCATGAACATAGTTATATCTCGGACCTGTCATTCTCGGAGCTCGTTTTTATGTACTTGACGTCGCGACGCTATCGCGTCGCTTGATTAAGAATACGTTTTGATTGACCACTTCCCTCATACATACTAAGAATGTTTTTAGGTATGTAAAAAATCTATAAGAAATGTGTTTTACTGAATATATTTCTTAAATATTCTATTATATACCAAATATATTCCATTATATAAAATATATTCTATTATTTATCAAAAGATATTATCAAAACATACTAAGGAAGCTGAAATTGTGACATACAGATATTCTCAATATATTCTTTGTAAAATATAGTATGTGTTTAAAACATGCAATTCAAACAATCTACTGTTGTGATATCTTTCGAATATTCTCAAAATATACCTGTGCTGTATGGGTTAATAACACTATTTACCTGTATTTTATTATTATTTAAAGTAAGAAATGTAGTCTGTGATGGCCTCTAATAACGGAAAAAATTATCTCTTAGAAATTTTTGCTAGTAGTAAGCCTTGTATATTTGTAGATGCTTCATTTGACTCTACAGTTTTTAATATATCTATAAGAACATTTTTAATCCATAATGGAAATATTTCCCAAGAAGTACTTCATGAATAGTAATGACATTTTGTAGTATTCAGCAATATCATAGAATCAAATAAAAGCTCAATGAAAAATGTTATTCTCGCTTATTCATTGAACTAATTGTTCTTTAAACTTAATTCAAGTTTCTTGTTGATTTTTTCCATTAGTATTTATTAAATCACAATAACTTACCCAGATAGAAATGTGTGATAATCATGTTTCATCACAATGTGACTTCATACTATAACTTCAATTTGATACTTTTTTAAAGATCATTATGTGATCTCATGAGTACCAGATGCACACAAATGATGTACAACTTATGTTGCAAGTTCTTGACATGATGTTGATTATTATTATTAAATGAGGTATTTTTATGACATAACATGTCTGCATTTTGAGGCACATATGAGTCCGCATCAGTGTCTATTCTTGTCCTCGTGTCTTGAAGATACATAAATACAATATGAACTCAAAATGAACACATTTTCCTATCTGGGTTACTTCATCATGATTATTATCTAATTTTAATAGTTTAATAATATTAGCATTATTATTGACATTGGAACATAAATTATATCTATAATCTAAAGAAATCTCTGATTGTTTCACTGAATTTACTAGATTGATTTTCAATATTTTCATTTTGAATATTGTACAGTTCACAGATTTTACAGAATTGTTTGTTTTTCACTTGCTGATAAGCTTTTAAAATCTGTTTGTAAAGCTATTACAATACTCATATTTTTACAGGTTATGATATTATGATATTGTGATAGCTATCAAGGTTATGAAATCCTATTATAAAATAAATTATGAAATCCTATTATAATATAAAATTAAATTATGTGCATTATATCAACATTACTTAAAAAACGTATCTTTTTTCTATGACATATTACATATTTCTTTTAAATGATAATTGCTATTTTGTTTATTAGACACACTTACAAGCAAACAATATAAAGAGCTCTTTGATAGATGTTTTTTAGAAAGCTAACTTAAAGAACTCTTCCTTTCAACAATACTCACTAGAATACCTACTTTACTTCTTATATCAGCAGTAGCTAAACCTATTTCACTGAATATATTTTAATAGAGTATGTATGTAAATACAGTAACATTGTATGATATATATCATCTAAAAATAAATAGTTAACAAAAAGAAGCTTTAAACTTTCTGCCTGGTGAAAAGTTTAATTTTAGAAAATAGCCAGAAATTATTCAACAAAGTTATAAATTACAAAATTAATTAAACAATGTGTTGCAAAAGTTTCAAATAATGTCTACTTCTGATAATCACTTCTCTCAATTATCATTTTACACATAATTTTAAAATTTTTCTATGATGGAACTACAAGGACAAAAAATAGAGCAAAATAAAGTATCATATATCAATATACTAACCACGTTTTGTTGCCGAAGAACTATTGATGAAAAAAATAAGAATACACAGTAATACGAAATTCATCGACTTACGTGAAGTGGGATCAGCTATCGATCGATACGACGTCTGTACATATGTATATATCTAATTTATGTCGTACGTGTTTTTTTCTCCTTTTCTCTTATTCGTTTTTAGTCCTGCTCGTCCGACTCACTCGCTGTTTCTCTTTGTTCCCTTATAAGTTTATTTACACTTTGTTTCTATGGAAAAAACACTATGCACACAACTAAAAACTGGCAAACGCGTAAGTAAAACTTGACTAGCGTATGTTTGCGAAAAAACAATTGTACAAAACAAAAAATCATCTGGAAACATGGCACACATTTATCCTGACCTATACAAACAGCTGGTATTTTTATGTCATGTTTCGATATTGTCACTTTTAGACTGACTTCAAGAAAGTGATATATTCAACTTTTGTCAGAGCTGTCGCGACTAACCTATCATATTAGAAAACACAACAATAAATTACTCTCTAAAGACAAACGCAAACGATTGAAAATCGATTTAAATGACTAACGATGCTTTTGTTCTTTTTGTCTCTGCGTACTTTATGCGAATTTTTCGCATTATTATGTTAATAAAAAGATTACTAGACTTATTTTCCAAATAGAAACGTATCATAAAACAATCAATGGACACCACGATACTGAGGCGCCGGCGTGTCTACCCCTTTCCTCGCCAGACTTTACCATCTCTCCCACTATCCATCATCCCTACTTTCGTTCCAAGCGATGACTACTACGGCTGCGTTCCTTTTGGGCGCTCACGCGCTGTAAAGCTGGACACACATATGCTGCGTTCGGAAACGTCACTCGAGTACTCTCCCTCTCTTTTTATCTCACTCTTGTATTTTGCTCACTCCAACGGCTATCGTCTAGTAGTGTGCACACAGTGGGTGCTTTCCCATTGCGTACACTGGGGTGCGTTCGAAAACATCACCCGTGTATATTTTGTCACACTCAGATCGTTCGAAAACCCCTAGTGCGCACACTGACCATGCGACCATGGCCGTTCGAAAACTGTACTCCGTGGACCACTTGTATGACTTTTCTCCACTCTCTTTTGCGCGGTGTGAATCGGTGGAGATGGTGGAGAGTGCGCAAAGAGTGCAATACAGTATAAAATTACTAAATTATTTATGGTTTTTTGTTCTTCGAAACATTCGTACAACCATTAGCCATCACGGTAAGATAAAAAATTTAAATACAGCAGTGTAGGTTAGCCAGGTTTAGGTTTATTTCTATAGTGATGTATATTGTCAGAATATTGTCTTTAAATATAAATAAAGCTTATTAAGCTTTTTGTATTTTATAGGTTCTGAAATTTTCTTACGAGATACGAGGCACGTTAAAAGTCACGAATCAGTAACAATTTGTGAAAAAAAATGGAAAATTTAATC